CATTGCTAAGAACTTCATTTGGACAACTTTTAAGGTAATTTTCTCAATATTTCAATTTCTTTTTTTTTTTGCACCTTCAGATTCCAGATTTTCAAATAGTTGTATATCGGGCAAATATTGTCCTATCCTAACAAACCATACATCAATGGAAATCTTATTTAGTCAGCTTTCATATGTATTAAACAAAGAATCTTTTTTTTTATTATTGACCCTTATGACTGTTTTTATGGTCCAGGGCCACATATCAAGAGTGATATTGTCATATATGTTCCCTATAAGGCCATTTTAATATCTGAAATTGTTACAGTTATATATGTTTTTACTTCACATGACAATATATTTCATATATGTAAATTTAATGTATGTACATACATTATATTTGCATATGGGAATTTTTGGAATGAGATTGTAGCCAATCCTTATAGAAGTACCATACTTTAAATAAGGTATAGAAAGTACAGAAAGCTTTTTTTGAGTGACAGTTCATTATAAAAAGTGTCTTTAATGTTATGTATTAGGCTACATACGTGACAAGTGTGATGAAATCGAACAGTTCAGTATGAGGGATTATGTGAACATTATACATGGATATTATGTTATCCGTCTAGTCAATATTAAATGTTAAACAATACAATAATGCCCTTTATACCCTACTGAGAATAGAGAAAGCGAGTTGAAATTGAGTTTTGAGATCACTGATATAAAGGAGTCACCAAAGAGGTTATAAATAAAAAATAAAATGCATATTTTTAGCCAAAAAGGCTATAAATAAAATGCATTATTATTATTGTTATTACTATAAAGTTGCAATTCCTTTGTGTCATTTACAAAAATCTTTAGCCGTTTTCACCATCTCACCATCAAACTCTCTACTCTCCTGTCTACCCATAACACACACACAGCACATACACACACTCTTGTCCTGTTGCTCAAAGCTGTGCAGACAAAAAAAGACGCAAGCACTTTTGAGTAGCAGTGCTGTCACAACACTGGCTTTCCCTGAGAAACAGATTCTGTGAGACATCACCTGCGAACTAAGTAGCTGAATAAACATTCTGTGATGAAGGAGGAAGAAGTGGGAGCTTCAAAGACATGATAACAGAAGACAGATTACCGTGACAGCACAGAGAAAGCTTTATTTTAGCCTTAGCCTCAAACTACAAACCCAGAACACAGCAAAGACGTTTACATATAGCGAAACAAGCTGCCTCAGGTATTATAAATATATCAAACACATAATGAGATCAACTGGCTTTGAAACAGACATTGATAGAATTTCTCACAGCTTTAGTGACAAGAAGGCATACTCATATTAAACAGAACATACAGGATACAGGTTTTTCAAGATTTCCACAGTCTTCTGAGAAGGTCCAGAGAAGTCATAAGTCATACAGTCTCAAAAAAGAAAATGCATGCAAGGCAAAGTGATTAAAATCAATACTTTAAAAAATTAAATAAAATTCTTTTCTCTTTCTTTTTTTCTTTTTTTTTTTAGAAATGTACTCTCTGTATTCATATTGGTTTTATCTTAAAACCTTTCATATCATTTTTTAAAGAGAAGTTAAAGAAGTTATGAAAAGAAAAGTTTGACAATTGTTAAGTGGTATAACCATCAAATAAATGTAATAATATATTTCTTTAACCTTAATGTTTTTTTTAAAGGTCAAACTCTGATATTTTGAAAGACTTCCTGAGCTATCAGAGACTGTCAGTGATATTCATTTCTGCATGTTTTTGCATGGCTTTTTTGCCACTCCAGATGATTTTGCAGACAATTTGTTTTCAAATGTTAATAAGCTGTGAATTATCATTATTATTATAGTTTTTTTCTAAGACATAATAGAAGAAAGATAATGCCAAACTACTTAATATGGTCTTCATTTCAAGGGATTCTTCTTTTAATTAGTCTTTATATAACAAAAAAATAAGTGACTCATTGACAACATGGGCAACATCTAATCTAAAATGGGCTTTGTCATTATATATACACTGCACAATGACTTAATTGTTTTTTGTTCAAACCTCATGTAGTCCAAACATTTCAGAACACTGAATTTTCATTCAACGCACAAAGCATGTATACCCACTTAAAACTCCGCCAAGAAACTTGCCCTTTGAGATCCATTCATCACAACAGCAACTAGCTGGAGATGAAAGAGTGAAACACTGTGAGAAAATATTACTTCAAAGTATTAACCTTTGAGAAACAACCCTATATATTACAGTTTGCTTCAGAGCTAATCACAAATAATAATAATACAAAAAAATGGAATCTTTCATCTGTTGATGCTATTTGTCATTCTCAAAGACGTAAGAAATGGGAAAAACAGTAACATAAATCAACAAAAAACATGGAACATTTCAAAACCCTGAAAGACAATATCACATAACTTTTACAAAGTACAATGTAGCACTGAACTGAGTACTGATAAATGTATAAACCACATTTATATTTAGATAATGGCCACTGGAAAGGACAAATTGCTACAAAAAATGGCCTAACCTTACAATCAATGGTTATGCACAAGTGCTTACTCATGCAAACACACCCGCACGCGCACACACACACACAGTCTTATATTTTCTCTCCCTCATTTAAGGCTATGGTGGCCATGGTGTATTGTGGTGTTGTAGCCAATACACTGCATTTAACAACCTGTTTCCTTATCACTTAATTGTGTTTTAAATGGAATGAACTGAAAGTCCCACAATCCTATCTGCTGCAGAAAACCAGTACCATTTGCTTTTTATATCGGATGTATATTGTTTTGTTGTTGTTGTTGTTTGTTTGGTACGTTTGGTTGTTCGTGTGGTTTATTTGGAAACATGTATCTATTACAAAAAAAGTACTCGTTCATTTTTTCCCCTATTATGATATTTATATTTAGAGATTTATCATATCAGTATAGAATAGAAGAACTATTGTATTTACAAAGATGTTCAAACATAAACTCCAAGGACAGTACATATATTTAATTCAATATCTCACAATGTTTTGCTTAAATTATACAGATCACAAAGCACTCCCAAGAAATACACAACACATTTCTGTATCTATATTTCAGAAGGGAACTATAGCCAAGGATAATTACTCATAAAGAACACTCTAGAGCGGACAAACTTTGACACGCTGCATAATTATCAGTCTGTTAGTGCTCGTTTACATCTGCCACAGAAGACAGCAGAAGCATGTTAGAAAATTCCGAACAAGGTCAGAAAGTGTGACATGTCTTATTTAACCAACCAGCCAAACATCAAAAGTGGCACTTTCATTACACTGCACGATATGTCCAGCTTGATAAGAGATGAATTTCTGAATGTAGTTCTTTGTTATCTGCCTGGTTATCTAAAGCTATTTCCATGTAATTCTTTGCTTTTCTGTTATTTGTTTATTCAGGTAGTTTTCATTTCAATCAGTTTCTATTTCTTACTTTGTTGTGTTCTGTCTGAATCAAACCCCCTTTGAATATATGAATGGTTGTCTTGGAAACAGGTTCCATATCCTCTGTAACTTGCAGCGATTTGAAATTAATGGCCAGACTTATGTTATCTATCATGTACCCAAGCAAAACTAACATGCAAAAAGAACCAACTCAAATTTTCTGTCACTTTTGGCAGATGTCACTGACACCAAGAGAAATAACAGCAACTGCTTAGTAGACAGGTTATGCGTCTGAGTGAGAAATAACACTTTCTGTTTATCCCCAAGACTCTAGTTTGATATAGGTCTGCTACATACCCAGGTGGTCCTTTAGAGGAAATGGAGAGAGGGAAAACTGATCGATGAAATGAAAAATTGCAAGAAGGGAGTGATAATCAAGAGAGAAGCAGAAATAAAAGAGGTAAGAAGGGCGAGCATGTGTGAGCACTGAAGTATTTGTTCAGTGTATATCCCGGGGGGCACGTTAACAAATTATGAAGCTATGAATTCTGATGCTGACCCCCCAAAGTCATGGAGGAGGTGGGAAGAGAGGCGAAACATAGAGAGAGAGATTGCTTCTTTCATTAATAATTTTATGCTATTTTCATATTTATGTAGGCAGATAAAGGTACACATATAAGTAAATTGGTTCTGACCTGCATTCTAATGCTGATGAATCCAGATAATTCAAATAAAAGGGGCGTTTAGCCACCGTACAGCTGATCTATCATTATAGATCATAATTCTAGTAAAGCGTGTCATTCGCAAAACCATTTGAAAAACAACAACCATTTTAATAGGCCTGCAAAAACCAATCATGTTTTGGACGTCTCGTTTGCCAGCTGGGCATATACCTATATAGGCTGCATTTTTATTCTATTGTTACTCAGAAGTAAATTATTCTTAGCATAACAAATTACTTGTTTCTAATGTGTGGTTTCTAACTGATACATTTTATCATCAATCATAAATGACAGCTGCCATCAACTACATTATTATTACAGTAATATTTTGAATATATTTTATATTATTCTGTTTTCATTTTCATTGTAAAGTTTTAGTAATTTTTGGTGGGTTTTTTTTGTAATTTTTGGAAGGGCTTTTTTATCATGTCTGTATGTTTTTTATTCATTTTTATTTCAGTTTTAGTCATTTTAGTAGATCAGGTTAACAAAAAAAATTTAAAAAAATATATTTTGAATATATTTTATATTATTCTGTTTTCATTTTCATTGTAAAGTTTTAGTAATTTTTGGTGGGGTTTTTTTGTAATTTTTGGAAGGGCTTTTTTATCATGTCTGTATGTTTTTTATTCATTTTTATTTCAGTTTTAGTCATTTTAGTAGATCAGGTTAACAAAAAAAATTAAAAAAAAATTTTTTAAACAAAATTAAAATGAGAAATGTTGCCTTGGAATTTACAATTTTATTTAAGTTAACATTCATTTTTTTAAGTGACAAAAATGTTTTTAAGGGTTTTATTTTTCATTTCTGTTTTAGTTTGTAGTTAAATGTATTAACCCTGCTGCCAATACTTGTATAAAATATGGGCATTCAGGCATTTCAACAATTATAAGCACACAAACATCTCATGTGCGCTCCATCCGTTTGAGGATGAATTTTAAAACGCTTGGTTTCGTTGTGCAGATCCAGCTTTTATGTTTAGCATGAACCGCTGAATAAATTAATTTCAGCACAAACAAGAGCTTAGATCTCCTTTTATATATTCAGAGAGGGTTCGTTGGGGCAAGGCGAGAAGCCGAATATCCCAGGTGTCTCATCAGCTTCACCAATAAGGAAGAAATCAATTAGAGCAATTGCAATGTGAGATAGACTGAATGCTTTTTTTTCTTTTCTTTTTTTCAGTGTTTTAGTGAGAATGTGTATTAGAACATTAGTGCCTCCAAGGCAATCACATCAAACTTCCCCCTACAGTTTATTATTTTCCATTTAAATCACTATCTCCAGTGCCAGAGCATTAAAATTCCAACCTGTCATGCAGCTTGGCAGTTTTGACCGGGGCATTACTTCAACTGGGGTGAAGATTTCCAAGAGACCGTTGATTCTGTTGACGACTGAATTGCCTTGCCCACCTGATACATCTTCATGTAGGATAACTTGTAGTAGATGTGCATCAGAAAAGAAGGAGATCAAATTAAACATTGTCTCCTACAAAACCATCTGATGTTGTTATTATCAGAATACACAAAAGAAGGAGTCTCAGTTGTGCCATTTAAGCAAAGCTCATTAAGACAAAGATACCATCACAGAACAAAACAGAGAACAAAAAAAACAGATGATACACCACAACACTCAAAATAGACAAGAAAATGTACCATTTTGTAGCCGGAAAGCTGCTATCTACAAGAGTAGTCTTGTGTATGATCATGCAACATGCAACATGCAATATTTGGTTCTATAACATCAAAGGTACAAGTCTTACACAATAAAAATATAGCTACATCTTTGCACATCCCGTGCACCAAACCTTTTGACTGTATCACAATAATGATATAAATTGAACTACAGAAAGACAGTTTACCACTGACACACCAACTTTGGGCAGAAAGACCAGACAAATGAGGTATTCTTTTCCCAATAAAAATGAACACTGGCACATTGAACAAAGCATGTTGACACCATGAAAAAGAAGAACACATCTGGTGATCTGAACTCAGTACATGTCACAAGCGCACAGGATCAAACTGGAGACGCCTGCAATGCTAATGCTAACACGGTCCTACCGTGCTAACGGTGGTATAACTGAACTTTGTTATGGACGCCCCTGTGACTCCAGTGATCTCATCATCACCTTCCCTCCTCTTCCTCTGCTTGTGGCATGGGCTCCTGCAACACCCAAATGTGACCAAGAGAGCCTTCCGGAAGCGGGTGTTCATGAAGCAGTAGATGATGGGGTTGACGCAGGCTGAGGTATAGGACAGAAGCTGAATGAAGGAGATGGGAGCTCCAGAAAGTGCACGCTGGGCTGACTTTTGGTCGAAAGCCTTCCAGGTGTTGGCAGAGTATAGAGGCATCCAGCATATGAAGAACATGGCTACTATAATGATCAGCATTCGGATCACTCGTTTTTTGGCAATGAGCTTTGCCTCTGAGGTGTTGCTCCGTGGACGGTCTGCCTTGACGGTGCCGGAGGTGGTCAGAGCAGAAAGTTCCATAGCAGGGGGCTTCTTTGGGACTTGGATATAACATCCATCGCTCTCATCATGGCCAGAAGACAGTGCACCATTCAACCCATTCTTTACACCTGTACATAAAAGAAGTTAAGAGATGATGGTGTACTGCCAATTGATAATGTTTTTTACAAAGTCATATTTGTGTTATTTCTGTTTAGTTGCACTAAAAACATATATGAAACCTATTAGAAATTAAAACGATTTCATATATTAGCATATATACATGTAGGTACACCTGATCAACTGCTCATGTAAACATCTAATCGGCCAATCATTTGGCAGCAATGCATTTAGCATGTAGATCTGATTAAGTTCAAACCGAACGTCAGGAAGAGTCAAGTCAAGTCACCATTATTTATATAGTGCTTTTTACAATGCAGATTGTGTCAAAGCATGCTTTACAGTATTAAACAAGGAAATAGTGTTGAAATAGTGTGCCGTTCTCCTCTGGCCAGACGAAACCAGCAGTTTAATTATAGGCTGCAACAAAGTCAGATTGTGCAGAGGACTCAAAGAAAAAGAAAGGTGATTTAAGTGACTTTGAATGTGGCATGGGTGTTGGTGCCAGGTGGGCTGGACTGAGTATATCAGAAACTGCTGATCTACTAAGATCTTCACACACAACCATCTTTAGGTTTTATAGAGAAATGTCCAAAAGAATGAAAATATCCAGTGAGGTGCAGTTCTGTGGGCAAGAGGTCATAGGAAAATGGCCAGACTTCTTCGAACTGAGGCAACAGTAACTCATTACAACTGAGGTATGCAGAAGAACATCTCTGAACACACAACAAGTTGAACCTTGGGCTACAGCACAACACACTGAAGCAGATGGGCTACAGTAAAATAAGATTACACAGGGTACCACTCCTGCCAGCTAAGAACATGAAGTTACAATTCCCACAGACTCACTATAATTGGACAATACAAGAATGGATAAATGTTGCCTGGTCTGATGAGTCTCGATTTCTGCTACAACATTCAGTTGGTAGGCTCAGAATGTGGTGTAAACAACTTGAAAGCATAGATCCATCCTTGCTTTGTATCAACAGTTCAGGCAAGTGCTGGTGGTGTAATGGTGAAGGGATATTTTCATGGAACACTTTAAGCCCCTTCAGTACCAACTGAGCATTGTTTAAATGCCACAGCCTACCTGAGTATTGTTGCTGACCATGTCCTTCCCTTTATGACCACAGTGTACCCAGTGCCGCATTAACCATTGGGCTAGGCGGGGCTGAACAAGGAGGGGGCCCGTGATTGGCTGTGGAGTAGATTGACTAGTCATCAGTAGCGCCGATTGCCAAAGCCCCTCACATATTAGCGCTATTATTTAGTGGAGCTTTTCCATATATTCCATGCATTAACTTTAGAGATTAAAACATCACGTTTGAATTTGTTTGGTTTAACGATCAAATGTATTTATTCTATATTTTTACTTTTAAACGACCCCTGCACCACTTATCAATCAGGTGATCACTGCAATGTCGCATTCCCCTCTCTTCACTTCATTCTGGCATAATCTGGAAATGGTCATGAAAAGGAATAATCTTCAATAAGTAAAAGTGTAAACCATTTTAAAAAGAAAGTGAGAGAGGGGCTATTCTAAAAAAAAATGAGGAGAGAGGGGAAAACATGAGTTAGAGAGTCAGTAAAATTCCCAGCTATCAGGTTATTTTACTAAAGCTGATGATGGAGTGGAAGTTGTGAAAACAACAAGTGGCACATGGAGCAGATAAAATCACAGTGTCATACAGTGTCATTGTCCCCACAGATTTTAGGTTAGTTTGATTAACAAGTTCATAATCTGGAAATGGTCATGAAAAGGAATAATCTTCAATAAGTAAAAGTGTAAACCATTTTAAAAAGAAAGTGAGAGAGGGGCTATTCTAAAAAAAAATGAGGAGAGAGGGGAAAACATGAGTTAGAGAGTCAGTAAAATTCCCAGCTATCAGGTTATTTTACTAAAGCTGATGATGGAGTGGAAGTTGTGAAAACAACAAGTGGCACATGGAGCAGATAAAATCACAGTGTCATTGTCCCCACAGATTTTAGGTTAGTTTGATTAACAAGTTAACTTGAGTTATTTTTCGCGCCTTGTGCTTAAACATTCAAATGCACAGTTATATGTCAAAATGTCTCCTCGTCAACACAGTCATTTGTGTCTTAAACAAACATTAATAGTGAAATATAAAGCATGTGAAGTAGTAGGCTATATGAGATCCTAATATGATGAGATTTTAAAGGGATAGTTCAACCAAAAATGAAATTACTGTCATAATTTACTCAGCCTCAAGTTGTTCTAAACCTGTATGAATTTATTTTTTCTCCTCATCATAAAAGATGATATTTTGAAGAATGTTCATAACTAGAAAGTTTCTGGTCCCCATTGACTCCAGTAGTGTATTTTGTTTTTTATACTATGGAAGTCATGGGGGCCTAGCAACTGTTGGGTTACCAGTATTGTTCCAAATATATGAAGAGTTTTTTGCAAAAACAGATAACTTAGTTTATTAATTTTCAAAAATCATGTTTATTATGTTATCATGTTTTATTGTCTTTTATTGTGTTAGTTAGCTGTATTTTTTGTTATTTTTTAACAATCAAAATAACCCAACTGCAGTTTGATCGAGAATAATTGGAATGCACAATGAAAAAACATCATTTTTGAAAATGGTTAAAAATGGAGTTATCGCTTTTTGCAAATGAACTCTTCATATACTTTTACATTCAACAGCAGAAAGAAACTCATACAGGTTTAGAACAACAACAGACCTTTAATTTTTGGGTGAGCTATTCCTCTAAAGCAGCCTAATTTAGCTGCTGTTAAAAGTTATGATAATAATGTTAATCAAACATTAGAAAGAAAATCACTCACTGTCCTTGACCGAATCACTTTTGTAAAATAAATAAGAATTAATGTATATTGAATTTATACAGTGAAGACTATTCAATTTATTTGTACAATTATTTTATACAATATAATTTCAATGTTTCAGGTAGGTCTATTTTTTGTAATTTGTCATTTGTGTCTGTTTACTTGTCTTAAGTATAAGCTTGTTTTTACTTAAGCTAGTATTTTTTTTTTTTTTTTAAATATTGAAATTGGTAACACAAATTATAACATTTCAATGCATCAAAATTTTGATAGGATAAAAATCCTATTTAAAGCTATATATATATATATATATATAGCCCCGGGGCCCAGTAAGGTCTTAATGCGGCCCTGAGTGTACCCATCATTTTATCACTACTTACAGCAGAATAACATGCCATGACACAAAGCTCAAATAATCTCAAACTGGTTTCTTGAAAATGAAGTTCACTATACTAAATTTAGTTCACTATACTAAATTGGCCTCCACAGTCACCAGATCTCAATCCAGTTGAGCACCTTTGCGATAGGGTGAAACGGGAGACTCGCAACTTGGAAGTACAACTGACAAATCTGCAGCAACTGCGTGACCAAAATCTCTGAGGAATGTTTCAAGCACACAGTTGAATCTATGCCACGAAAAATTAAGGCAGTTTTGTAGGCAAAGGAGGTCCTGTCTGGTACTGGCAAGGTGTACCTACTGTAATAAAGTGGCAGGTGAGTGTATCTAACCTATATAAATATGCATGTTTATGTATGCATAATACATTTTTGGGCATATATGTCATGTATATTTATTACAAAAAAAACGTAACACTTTAGTATAGGGACAGATTCTTACTGTTAGCTAGTTGCATATTAGCATAATATATTGGCTGTTTATTAGCACTTATAAAGCACATATTCTGCATGACCATATTATACATCCCTTATCCTACCCAAAAACTAAACTTAACAACTACCTTATTAACTATTAATAAGCCGCAAATTAGTAGGTTATTAAGGCAAATGTCATAGTTAGTGGTTTATTAATAGCGAGAACTGGACCTTAAAATAAAGTGTGACCCAAAAAACATATATAAACATACAGATTTTTTTATATATGTTGTTTTAATTAAGTTGCATATATAAATAAAATATACAAACTTCTGAGCTGCAGGTTTGCAATGCTGCATGAAAGTAGAGTATGCAGTATATTTTGACTTTATTATTACTTATTTACTAAACATAAAATTCCTAGAGCATGAGATCATAACCTCTTCAATGCACTGTCCAAAGACACTTCAGACAACTCGACACCGCGGTTTAATGCAGATGGCATAAAGTGGGAATTGGCAGAGCATAAAAACATAAGGAGGATGCGTCGGCTCATTTTTATTGAAAGTATCTTGTAACAATCTGCAAGCACCTGATACTAGAGAGTTGCATAGTAGTGCAAATAACAACCTGTATAACCAGTATCCTGTTTAAATAAGTAAGACCTTCTGCATGTCCCTACTCTCAGTTCGCCAAAACAGTAACTTCACTATTTACTTTCTTTGTCTTTTTCCAGCCTCATTTATTTGATCACAGCAATGGTACAAGACAAATATTACTTTTTAAAGAATACTTCTAATAAATGGTACCCGTGGAGGTCTTTAACTGAAATGCCCTCAGAAGTATCTCTTTTCACCTCACTCAAGTTGTCTAAAGCTTGTCCCTTAGAGAACTTACATCCAGCATATCGGTGCACAAACAGCCTTAACGCCCAGGGAGGTACTCAGCATGACCTTAGTGCATTCAGTCTTCGCCATGGGAGACATGGGTCAAGCAGCCTCTCTCACAAATGGAGAGAGAAGGGAAAAGAGTGTCGAGCATTTAAGGATGGGCAAAAAAAACAGCAGCCTCACTTGCAGCACTTACATCATGCCAAAAAAAAGTTTCCAAAATGTTTCTAAAAAGAAACAATTCAGAATTACTGCAATTTTTTAGAAGTTTTTCAGATGCTAATCCAATTTAGTACAGTTTATCAAAGTAAACAGGCATGCTTCAGGCAACTCATTGCTTCGAGGGCTAACTGAAATTGTGGTATAAGGGCTTTAAAATATGGTTCATACCCCTAGAGTCTTTCTTCTGCTCCAGTTCAAACTGAATCCCTCTGTAAAGTTCTCTGGATATGAGACCGTAGGCAATTATCATCACCACACCTGGGATGAAGAACAGAATGAAGAGCAACAAGACATACCTAACAGAGAGAAAGAGAGAAAACATATCTGTCAATGAAAAGGTAGAGTATACAGATGATGAAACCAAAGGACTGCACGTCAGTAGTGGACTAATTAGAACAAATGACAGGTGATTCTGTACTAAGCTGCCTTTTCCAAAAGAATGGTAAACTTACGTAGATTGTAGAAACCATTGACAACAATGCTCTCTAACAGGCTTACAGCACTTTTGGGAAACACAGCCCTGGTGTGTTTTGGTGTATTGATCGAAGAAGATCTAAGGTTCAATTGAAATTCAGAGGTTCTCTAATCTAATAGTTCTGTAGTAACAATTGATACAGTAATATTCATACTTCCTCTGAGGTTATTGTCACTACAGTTGTTAACTGAGATAGAAGATGGTTTCAGTTATCTGGATGAGCAGCATGATATACAATTATTACAGTTACAGGATATTACAAAAAATCTGATTGTTTTGATAACCTGCAGCCATAGTAATATTCAGTACAACAGCATTATAGTATTGTTTAACTAGCTTTTGCAGTCTTTTCAAATGATCTGCAACAAACAACTCAAGCTTTAGATTCAGTCACACAGTATTTAAAATGATTTGGTCAGATGGTCAGCTCTGGCATACAATGGGACAAAGCAATACTTGCATGTCAAACTTTAAATTAAAAAGCTCTACCCCATAATATGATGTAATTTTATAATATTCAAATGACAGCGTGGGAGTGTTCCCTGAAAGCATCTCCGGTAGTCCGTTCTTCTGATCTTTTTCATCTATCAGACAGCATTGTGCTTACAGCTTCATTCCATGCTTCACTTATCTGATATCAAAGACACTTTTCTCTCCTCTTGTTTCCTGTGTGGCTTTCAAATTCATTATGAGCTCCAGCACAAAGGCAATAAAAGCAATACTAATCCAACCAGGAAGTGGATGTAAGAGATGAGGGTGTGATATTGGGAAGCACCTTTTTATGCAAAACTAATTTATAATGTGTGATATTTAATACCTGTGTGTTGCTGCAAGTTTTTTTCCCTTTAGTTTATTTATATATATAGCCAATCCTTTACACCAAGTTGTTCTCAACTGGTGGGTTGTGTGTTTTTTGGGGGGGTTTTTTGGTACTCCAAATTGTGTGGCATGCCCCATGCTGCACTCTCTAAAAGCAGCTGGAGTATGTGTAATTTAATCAATCCTGCTAAAATGTAAAAATGTAAAAATTAAAAAAATTATTAAGTTGTGATTTTGAGATTTCCTAGTGCATCAAGAGCACTTTGCCTGTTTCTACAGTTACATTATGAAAGTCAAAAATCTGGAGCTCAACAACCCTCTGAGCCAGTCTCTGACCATGACTTGAACCAGCAGGCTGTGATTTGTGTGAAGCTCTTGTTAACTAATATGATGCATCTGACATGAATGTCTGAACAGAGAGAGATCGTGAATACTGTAGAGGTTTGGACCTCAGCGTCACAGTTAATGAACAAGATTTAATTGCTCTTGTTATGCATTTTGAACTTATTTAGAGCTGTCCTGACAGTAGGTCACCTGCTTATAGACCAGCTTAATTAATTAATTAAATTAAACGAATTTCTAGGCTCTGGTTTATGCTAGTTAGTTCTATATTGGTCTTACCTATACAGCGTGATTGTGGTTGTCTCCATTTTATTCTCAGCATGGACTGCTTGTTGAACATTTTTTTATTTCCACTCATACCCTTTCTGTATAGAATTGCCCATATACTGCACATATACACATACTATAGATGATAGATAGATAGATAGATAGATAGATAGATAGATAGATAGATAGATAGATAGATAGATAGATAGATAGATAGATAGATAGATAGATAGATAGATAGATAGATAACATTTTGAGAAATGACTCATCATGCGATGTATAATTATTACCCCCAATGAGGGAGTGTCTCTCCTCCTATAAAGTCCAATCCTCCACCTGCAGAGCTACTGTACCTGCAGTCTACTACCAGATATAGTTAGCTGACATGCAGTTGCAAAGTTACTTATAGTGACTATCAAAACTGCAAGTGCAGCTGAAAGATCTTATGCAAGTTGAATGCACTTGAATACCACCACAAAGTCATAATTATGAGTGGGAAAAACTGTTTTCTTTGAGTCATTGGTTTCCAAGTTGGAGCATGTTAGTGAGAAAACATGGCAGACACAATGGTTGCAGCATCTTAACTGATGGTAAATTTATTGAAATTCTTATTTTTTTGTAATAACACTAGATAATTAGTGAATACTAAATACTACACTATTGCACAATTACTATATAATACATAACAATTTCAGTTTACAGAACCTTGATCAATTGAGTGCACATAAAAAGAACAATACTGATGCACATACTGTAATCATTTTGTAGAAGTAGAGTTAAAAAATCTTGCTGTATTTTTTGTAGAAAATGTACATCACCATTTTGCTCTGACCAAAGTTATTTGAATGCATCTGATGGCATAATTGCAACTTTCCAACTTGTAAATACGAACGTCCCAGAAGGGCTTGAATGCACCATGCCTTCCTGCAGAATTTAGCTTCATCCTTAATTAAATATATCTGAAACCAGTTAATCAAGGTCTTCAGGAGCACTAGAAGCTTCTGAGCAGGTGTATTGGAGCAGGTTGGAGCTAAATTCTGCAGGAAAGGAGCCCTCCAGAAGCAGGACTGGAATAAACAGCATTTAATAAGCAACTAAAGGCCCAGCAGCTGGCCATCGCTGAGTGTCTGTCAGCTTAGTTTTTGTGATGTGTTCCATGCCATCGACAGTCAGTGGGAAAGGTCACTCTGATTGGCTGTTCATCTTAGCAAACCAGTGCATGAGAAGAAAACCTAAAGCGAGCAAAGCGAGTGAACATACACAGAAGCTCTTCTAATTTTATGTCATTTTACCTGAGCATAACCAATACTATATCAAATATTTTCATAACGACATGGCCGTCTAGAATGAAGAAAGTGATTGACATGATTCATAAAAATTTGAATAATTCCATTCAAAATGGTACACAAGTACTTTGTTCACAGTTTGTATATCAACAATCCTAGTTTAGCTTTCTCTTTTTGAATGGCAAATATAGACTACTACTGCCTGCTGGTATAGTAAGTTATTTCTTCTCACGCAGACATAGATTGTACACTCTAGCTGGCCTTTGGCTGTAGTCTTCGCAGTCAGTGTCATTGGTTTAGTGTGGCCTTAGTATAGTATAAAAGAAAAACATTAATGTAATAATAGTAACTCACCAAGTCTGTTCCACCTGACTGATGGGCCAGTCAAGCCTGCACATGTGAGCCGTGATGTTGTTTGGTTTGTTGAATGGCACCAGTATACTAAACACAGGATAGGGCACCATGATACCCACAGATAGTACCCATGTGGCAGCGATGACCTTGTAGGCATGAGAACGGGTCTGCCATGCCCTGGACTTCAGCGGGTTGCAAATGGCACTGTATCTTTCAATGGCAATGGCCACCAGACTGAAGGTGGAGATGCTGACAGATATACCTGTGAAGAGAATGTAGACAAGGGAAGTACATTAATATTTAAAATTAATAATATTAAAATATATTTAATACTGTCACGAGTAATCATTTAATGTCTGGTAATCATTTCCGTCTGCTCGCCACCAGATGTTGCCTTCCAGTTACATTGACTCTCACACTACACAAACTGTTGCATGTCACCCCGGACTACATTTCCCATCATCCATTGCACTGATTACACACACAGCTGCAACCAAATCAAACACCCTACATAAGCCATGGACTTCCTCTTCCTCACTGCCAAGTATTGTTTGCGCTTATCGCTACGTTAGAGATAGCAACGTTACGGAGCCATTCCGAGTTTGCTTGGTTCCTAGTCTTAGTCTTTGTCTCGCCTTGATCTAGCCTGTTTTACCCGAGTCTTGTATCGCAGATTGTCTCCTCGTTTTGTCTGTTTTGCTGCCTGCCCCGGAACTCTTGTCTGCCCTGGATTTCCCTTTATATTGCCTTCTCTGACTTTGTTTGTACCTCGTCTAGACTATTGCCTGTCTGTGGATTACCCGTTTGCCTCGCCTTTGGATTACGTTCACCGTCGATTGACCCACGCCTATTTACCGGACTACTCTTTGTCTTGCCCTCAATATAACTGTTTGCCATTGTCAGAACCTTGCCTGTTTTACGACTACTTTTTCGTCTAATAAAGCTTTGCAGATGGATCCGCATGCCTCACATCTCTGTCGGCCCGTAACAAATACAATGCTTACAATGTAAAATATTTGTATATAATCTCAGAAAAAAAGGTTCAAAAGCTGTCACTGGGTGGTTCCCTTTCAAAAGGTACTAATATGAACACTTTGAGTACTAATATGAATCTTTAAGGTATTGGAACACACCTCTTAATTATTGAATTTAGGTGTTTCAATGAGACCCATTGCCACAGGTGTAAAATCACCTAGCCATGCAGTCTGCATTTGCTAAATAAATAAATAGGGTAATTATGTAAAGTCAGAAAGCGGGGTCATATACCAGTCATATAACAGTCTACATAATATATAAATATAGAAGTAAAAAAATATATATTAACTTTGCAAACTGTTACAGAAGTCATAGCTGGATAAAATGGAATGGTAGTATTAACCTTCAGTTCTACACTTACCAGCCTGTATTGTATCATGTATTTACCATGCATTTCTTGGGATTGTGTATTTTATGATTATGTTGCTATGCATAAGAGTTCTTTTTCCAAGAATTCCCGCTTAGGGCGACACACCTCTGCTAATTTCGCCAAGGCTTATGGAACCTCCTGGATTGAGAACTGCAGCTAATGGGGTTTGCATACATGAATATGTATATTATGCAGTGTTTGCTACATTCCGCTCTGGCACTCTTTACAAATCATTTTAATGTATTCCCCTATTTAAACACACACACACACAACACTCAGATTCACCCCCCAAAATTATTGCAAACTTCCTTGAAGTAGTTTTCACTGAACAAGAATGTTTTATGCCAATGTTTTGCTGCACTTATTTCATCATGTTGTGCTAATAAGAAACCAGGGCTGCTACTGCAGAACCTCTGATTATCCAGTGACTTTAAGGTAACACTTGGGCAGATGGATTTCAAACTGACTGAGATTACCCAAGTCCATGTGGCAGCGATGACCTTGTAGGCATGAGAACGGGTCTGCCATGCCCTGGACTTCAGCGGGTTGCAAATGGCACTGTATCTTTCAATGGCAATGGCCACCAGACTGAAGGTGGAGATGCTGACAGATATACCTGTGAAGAGAATGTAGACAAGGGAAGTACATTAATATTTAAAATTAATAATATTAAAATATATTTAATACTGTCACGAGTAATCATTTAATGTCTGGTAATCATTTCCGTCTGCTCGCCACCAGATGTTGCCTTCCAGTTACATTGACTCTCACACTACACAAACTGTTGCATGTCACCCCGGACTACATTTCCCATCATCCATTGCACTGATTACACACACAGCTGCAACCAAATCAAACACCCTACATAAGCCATGGACTTCCTCTTCCTCACTGCCAAGTATTGTTTGCGCTTATCGCTACGTTAGAGATAGCAACGTTACGGAGCCATTCCGAGTTTGCTTGGTTCCTAGTCTTAGTCTTTGTCTCGCCTTGATCTAGCCTGTTTTACCCGAGTCTTGTATCGCAGATTGTCTCCTCGTTTTGTCTGTTTTGCTGCCTGCCCCGGAACTCTTGTCTGCCCTGGATTTCCCTTTATATTGCCTTCTCTGACTTTGTTTGTACCTCGTCTAGACTATTGCCTGTCTGTGGATTACCCGTTTGCCTCGCCTTTGGATTACGTTCACCGTCGATTGACCCACGCCTATTTACCGGACTACTCTTTGTCTTGCCCTCAATATAACTGTTTGCCATTGTCAGAACCTTGCCTGTTTTACGACTACTTTTTCGTCTAATAAAGCTTTGCAGATGGATCCGCATGCCTCACATCTCTGTCGGCCCGTAACAAATACAATGCTTACAATGTAAAATATTTGTATATAATCTCAGAAAAAAAGGTTCAAAAGCTGTCACTGGGTGGTTCCCTTTCAAAAGGTACTAATATGAACACTTTGAGTACTAATATGAATCTTTAAGGTATTGGAACACACCTCTTAATTATTGAATTTAGGTGTTTCAATGAGACGCATTGCCACAGGTGTAAAATCACCTAGCCATGCAGTCTGCATTTGCTAAATAAATAAATAGGGTAATTATGTAAAGTCAGAAAGCGGGGTCATATACCAGTCATATAACAGTCTACATAATATATAAATATAGAAGTAAAAAAATATATATTAACTTTGCAAACTGTTACAGAAGTCATAGCTGGATAAAATGGAATGGTAGTATTAACCTTCAGTTCTACACTTACCAGCCTGTATTGTATCATGTATTTACCATGCATTTCTTGGGATTGTGTATTTTATGATTATGTTGCTATGCATAAGAGTTCTTTTTCCAAGAATTCCCGCTTAGGGCGACACACCTCTGCTAATTTCGCCAAGGCTTATGGAACCTCCTGGATTGAGAACTGCAGCTAATGGGGTTTGCATACATGAATATGTATATTATGCAGTGTTTGCTACATTCCGCTCTGGCACTCTTTACAAATCATTTTAATGTATTCCCCTATTTAAACACACACACACACAACACTCAGATTCACCCCCCAAAATTATTGCAAACTTCCTTGAAGTAGTTTTCACTGAACAAGAATGTTTTATGCCAATGTTTTGCTGCACTTATTTCATCATGTTGTGCTAATAAGAAACCAGGGCTGCTACTGCAGAACCTCTGATTATCCAGTGACTTTAAGGTAACACTTGGGCAGATGGATTTCAAACTGACTGAGATTACCCAAGTGAATTTCCTAAACTCTCCTTAGATGTTTTTTTTTTCTTCTAGTCCAAAAAGAAGCAAGATGAAATGCGAGAGTGCCAAATAGTTTACTGGGTCCAATTGCAAATAAGTTTTTTTATGTGCATGTGGTGTCTACAAGAAGTTCTTATTATTGCAGAGTACTGGCCTCTTGTTCATTGTCTGTGCCCCCGGGTTTTAGATCTGCTCCACTTTGTTTCATATATACACTCTTAAAAATAAAGGTGCTTCAAAAGGTTCTTCAAGCGATGCCAGAGAAGAACCATTTTTGGTTACACAAAGAACCATTCAGTCAAAGGTTCTTTAAAGAACCATCTCTTTCTTACCTTTTTGTAATCTGAAGAACCTTCTTTCACCACAAAGAACCTTTTGTGAAACAGAACGGTTCTTCAGATGTTAAAGGTTCTTTATGGAACCATTTAGACAAAAAGATTCTTCTATGGCATCGTGAAGCACCTTTATTTTTAAGAGTGTACAGTGGTTGATAAATCCTCTCTGCCTGTATTTGCCAAGGCCGCACACATAGTGAGCTTTTCAAATCAGACCTTCAGGGAAATGTTAAGTGCAGCGTGACATGTTTAAGAACTTTTCTGAAAAGACAAATCTCTGAAGCTCTTCTGCGGTTAAATGGTCAACAGTTCGACTCTATTCAGTCTGAAAGTATTACGTTCCACATAGAACTGCTGTTTACTGTTTTTTCCTCTTCGGTTAGAGGAAACTTTTAAGTGAAATTTTTTTCACATTACCAAGATATATTGTCTGCTTTCTATGCTCCCAGAAGTATTCCAGATCTAATTATCATCTCAAAATAATTTAAACTGGCTGAGAATGATGCCTTATTTAAAACTCACTTAAAACGGAGGTGTACACAAATGTTGCAGCCATTGTAACCACATTTACCAATCGCTCAGACAGTGATTTGTGTTCTAAGGTAATTTTCTTCCTTGTGGGTAGACATTAGCAGATATGACCACTGAGGGTAGGAAATCAATGGCTCATAATGGTTTTGTGCATTGATTGCCACTGGCTGACTAAAACCAGGAGCCCAAAGCACTCTCAGATTAATGCAATAAAGTGAGCAAGGTAACACAAGAGAATGCCACAGAATGCCAGTGGAGCTGTAGAATGTGATGGAATGTTCTCACAGAGGCGGCGTGCTCTTCCTCTGGCTCAAGGCCAACGTTCTGCAGAGTGAGAATGACTTATTGCTGTCCAGCTCAGTGCCAAGTAAATTCAGAGACAAAATGCTGATTTAGGACCAGGCTGTGCTGCACGGATTCTCAAGACTTCTACTGCTATATTATGGAACACTCATAAATATGTATAACACCATGTAAGGGATGATGTTATTACATTGTACTTGTATGTACAATGTGCCAATAAGTTTGTTTATTTGGGCCTTGTATCATCACGAAGGGGTTCATTTTGTAATAATGACCTGACTGTACATTTCCCACGTATTACAGATACCAAATGAGTAAATAAATGAACATGAAAAATTTATTTGATTTGAAATGATATTATGTGAGAAGAAAAAGACTACGGAGTGATGTGAGAGAAACTAGCAGAGTGTAAGAGATTGGTTGCCAGGGACACTGGATTGACTGCAGAGTGCTGCATTTGACCAATCAGATTATTTAAGAATTCATTATTTATAGAATTTAACTACAATTTCAAGTAAAAAAAAAAAGAAAGTCTCAATCGCTATCGTCAAGAGATTATATGAATCAGTCAATTTCTAGCAAAGAAAAGCAGAATGAGAATGAGATGAAATGCATTGAAAAATTAAATTTCTTGCTACAGGCACAGCATTCTTTGAGAAGAATGCTTAATGATCTTTCGCCGTTTTAATCATTTCTTTTCAATCTGACGCCCACTGGTTTCAGAAGAATGTATATCTCATATTGATTGATTGGTGTTAGTATGATGTTGGACATGAAAAGGTGGTTTGCAGAGAGAAAGAGACATCACGTGAGAAATAGCACAGTTAATGACTAATTAGTGTGAAGTGCAACATCTATAAGCATAATCAAGTCCGACTTAAACTAGTTGACCTTATGACAGACAAATGACAGCTCAAATAGCCATTTAAAAAGCTGCGCTGTTGCTATCCACCATTTTGTCCAGCTTACTGAACTGTTGGACGCATACAAACCTTTTTTCTGGAAAACTCCTTTAAAGGGGTCATGAACTGAGAAATCAAATTCCCTTGATCTTTTGATATATAAAAGGTTATTTTCAAATAAAAAAAACATCCTGTGTGTTTCAGAACTCAAAACTTTCTCGTTAGTCTAAACAGCCTATATTGAAGCCAATCTGCCAAGACGTCAGGTTTTGGAATGTTCTACTCTGATGTTATAGTGTGGATAAACACCGCCTCTGCAGAAGATCAATGCCTGCTTCTATATCACTGCCTGTTTAGCCCCGCCCACCGATTTGTGCATGTAGTGTAAATAACAAGAGAGTGAATGGTCTACTCAGAAACCAAACTTTATTCTTAAGTTCCAGACTGCGTAAGAACATGGTCCTTTGTTCACTTAATTTTACTGTGGATTCATTTACAAATAAGGCACAGTTCGACGCAGGATTTTTTTTAAAAAAATTGAAACTAAAAGACAATGCTGTGCGGACTATACTGGATCCAACGGTAATGTTGCAAAAAGTGCTTTGTCTGTTATTACAGATTGTTTGATATGTAGATTTATGCATTTTTGACCTAAATAACAGCAGCATCCATGAAGGATGTAGGCCGTCAAACATACACAACTGTCAGCCAGCAGGGGGCATTTACTCTGAGTCTACAATCTGTCACGCCTATTCAAACAGAGCGTTCTGATGAGGGGGGGGGTCAAAAACAGGAAGAAAATAGCCTATTACATATAAATTATGTTTTTTGATGTAAAATTCTTGATAACAGTAAGTGGACCTCAGAGAACAAAACAAAAAAAAGGCAGTTCATGACCCCTTTAATTATGGTAAAAAGGTGTTATTGTCACAGAATGCCAGGAGAAAACAAGGTAGATCCAAGTGCAGTTTAATGAAAGTAACAGAACAAAAATGTGGCAAAAGGTAATCCAAAACACAGAGAACAGAACATGACAACTATGAACTCAGAAGACAATACAATCTAGCAGCAATGACAGACAGCGTGAGCATGGTATATATATAGATGGGATAATGAGTAAATGATAAACAGGTGATCATGATTGGAAACAATAAACAGGTGCTACTGATCAGAACAGGATTAACAAGCAAGGGACTATGGGAAATGGAGTTTAACACATTAAACAGGAAGAGCACCCTCAAGTGGCCAGTCCAGGGCACCACAACCAGACACTGTGACATTACCCCCCCCCCCCC